AAGTTTTAAGATGTTCTTTTATTGCTAATAAGTTTGGGTACCACATGGGCCATGGGTCCTTCCCAGGATCACACCCATCGAGGACCTGACTTAATCCCCTTAGTTAAACAAGAAAAAAATAAATTTGTGCAAGATGTCTGAACTAGAATCTACAGCTGCCCCAAATGGTTTATTGCACACGTGGGACTGTTTCATTTGTTAAACTAATAAACAACATGCACATTAATTTCCTACTAGTTCTGTAGTAACCACAATCACCAAGGGTTACTTTCCTGTAATTATCTGTAGCCTTTTTGCTTGGAAGACAAAAATTTTGCTGTAGCATTTTTTACTTTTTACCTTCTTGTCCCTACTTTTTATTTGAAATATCTTTAAATTTAGAATAGCAAGGTGTGTTTTACAGATTATTGTCCTGAGCACTGCTTTTCATATAGAACAGTTGTGATCTCATAAATAAAACTCACTGTCCCCCAAGAAGAACAAATAAAAATATTGTTAGTTGAACTTCGAAGTTTTCATTGTTTGGTGTATTTGGGGAGGGGGAGAAAGTGAAGAACAAATTGTTTCAGTAGCTATTTCACCATGTGCAAAAGCACTTGCTTGATAGTGTAAGCAGAACTTTATGAATGTCTTAGTTTTTCACTCCTGAAAGAATAAATGAGATCCAAAATCTGTAAATTAGGAAAGAATTTTCTTATTTAACCGTTGTAGGCCTTATTTTTTACTTACAAAAAGCAAAACCTACCTTACCACTGTTCACTCAACATTTGTGCCCATCTTAACCAGCTCAGAATAAGGATTGTTCCAGTTTGCAGTACTTACAGGGCTGTAATGTTTATTCCAGTCATGATAGGTCAGTCATAAACCTCTAAGAATTCAGAATATTTTCTGAGGCTTAATATAGAATGCTGACACTGTTTGCATTTTTATTTCTTAACTTTATAGAAATGTGAAGAATAACCTTAGATACTTTCTGCCATAAAACTTTCCAGGGATGATTTGTCACATGTCATTTTTTAACTGGTCCTAAAATGAGCTGTGAGCTTCTGATTTTTTTTGTTGTTTTTTGTTTTAATAGAACACTTCAAAGCTCTGTTTTCTGTGAGTACTGCTAGATTTCACAGGCTGTATCAAAGTCCTGCTTTTACTTTAAAGTGAAAACTAAACTATCAGGAACCTGATGTGCCGCTAATGTTATCAGTTCTCACAGGCAGCCAGTGAAGTTGCCAAGTTGTGCATTCTTGTTGAAGTTTTTAAAAATGTTTTGTGTGATTTGTAGGTGTTCAGGGCTGCTCTGAAGTCACTGCTGCCCACAGCTGCTCTCTCAGCAGCCTTGCCCTGCTGTTTTCCAGGTCTGGAATGTGGATAAGGTGCAGGAGTTCCCTTCACCCAGATTCCCTTCTCCTGAACTTCCCTTCAGTTCAGCTCTGCACAGCAGTGTTGTCTCCTGGAGGAGGCTGCATAGGGGATTATTCTTGGCATCATTTTATTTCCAGTAGCTCACAAGCACTAGGCAGAGTTGCTAGAATTTCCACGGGCTCTTGAGCACATCAATTACCTTATTGCTTATCATAATTTCCTCTTTTAAATATGCAAACTGCCATTTCTTGCCTGTTGCCTGTGTGAGTGAGAAATCAGAGTTACTATCTTTCCTCAAGAAAAGGGTGTAAAGGAGTTGTGTGTACCTCAAAGTAGTGGCTGTAAGTCTCCCTTTCTTACCTCCCTGTCTAGCATGCAATACAAACCTGTTTGCCTTCAAAAAGAGAGTTTTGCTGCTCAAGCCAAAGAGTTGAGTTCCAAAACTCATTATGGACTGACACATGCCTCTGTGTTCCTTAGATAGTTCTCCAACACCTCTGAATTTCAAGTAGTTTCTTATTTGTGTTGTCAGCAGCATTCAGAAGTGTAATAGATAAAAATGTGTGTCAGGACATCTGTCTGTCTGTGGGTTGTTGGGTTTTTTTGTAGCTGCTCATTAATTGGTGTTTAGGTGCTTCAGGCTTGCAGAAGGGAGCAAACACCGTGGCCTGTGTGCAAAAAACACAACTTTTGGTGCTCTGTCACATCATCCAATACCACCTATAGAGTTTAGTGCTTCTGCCTTGCTGGGTTTCAGAACTTTTAAAAAGTTTGCATAATACATCCTCTAGAATGTATCAGTCCAGAAAGGCTGGAATACACTACAATACATGTCAGGAGTCTTCTCCTCTCTTGAGCTGTGGTTGTGATAATTCTGATTCCATGCAGTAGAATAGAAGCTGCTGTTGTGTTACCTCCCATGGAAATGGAGCTGGCAAGGGGAAAGCTGAGCACAGCTGGCCATGTGTGCTGGGTGATAAACATCAGCTCAGCCAGGTTTTGTGTTTCCAGAAAGGTGAGGTGTCTGCTCCTGATGTGGTGAATATATTGATTTCTGTAGTTCTGTAGCACTCAGGCATTGCCACTGAAGGTGTTTGCTTGTGTGTTTTCATTGAAGTCATCTCTAACTGTACTGCAGGAGGTGATGGTTCTGCAGTCTGCTTAAAGACACAAAGTAACCATCAAGTCTTACTTTTTAGCATATTGTTTCAAATGTGTAGAGATTTGTATTTCCATGTTTTCCATTTCATTTGAGAGATTTGGGTCTCTCTGGTGTTGTCCTTGCTGCATGAACCTTCACTGTGCAGTTTTCTCAGTGGGTGCATTCCTGAACTTGGAGTTGCAGCGCCTTGGGAAGGGTGGGAATGCCTCTGACTAAAGGTGGTACTGTGCACCAAGGCAGTGTTTGTCAGATACATTTAGGGAATTCATGGACCAGCAGCATTTCACATCCCATCCGAATCTAGCAGTCAGGGTGGTCCTGATTTTTGTGAAAAGGCAGCTTGTTTCATAGCTGAGGTTTATGGTGCAGCATTCTCACAACTATCTTGCTGAAGATGGTGGTATCAAAAAACCACTTAGTATATCTTAAATATTCTAGCAGTTAGTGTAACTTTTCTTACCTTAGTTGAATAGATGGCTCAGGAATGGCTTTCCCTGGTGTTTTTTTTTTTAAATTTTGTCAGACCAAGAGGAATTCTCCTGCTTGATTTTCAGACTTGTGTTTTCCGAATACATGTTAGTATTATGCAGAAGAGGATGATACTTGGTTTTTTTCTTGTTAGTGTTAATTGTATTCCTTACTGTATCTGATTTGCAGTAACAATAATGTGTTAATTTCTATCAGTGTTACTGTATCAGTGTGCTGTGAGGCTCTGTATTAATGAATACTGCAGCATGCAGAGAAAACCAGAACCAGTAAACTGACCCTTTTTGTTGGAATTCCTACTGGGATGTACTTTTCCCATCTGATTTTAGTAGTATCTTCAAAGGTTAATATTTCCACTAAAAGCTATTAGTGATTTACAATTTAATCTTGGTGAATGATTAACAAAAATTTAGTTAATATTTCAGAAAGAAAGTATGGATAAATGTTTAACTACTAAATTTTCAGGATAGAACTGAAAAGTCAGTGAGATGGACAATTTGTCCTGTAAGGGCTCTTAGAGTTCTGCAGTTTTAAACTTCTCTACTGAAAAGCTTCATAACAATCCAGGCTTCTATCAATGACTTGTGTTAATTCATACATATTTAATAAGAAAATAATGAGTACCTGAAGGATTTTAGTGGATGTTCTCTATTCAGGTGGTGCTTCAGAAAGTCACTCTGGGTCTTGTAGCTTCGAAGTCCTGCTGAGAAAGTGCAGAGTTGCCCCATAGCTGCTGAAAGAAGAACACAAACAAACGTGTGTTGATAACGTTGTGTGTTCTGATGGAAACAAACAGTGCCCGTTTGGATGTTGCTGATCCGGATGAAAGTCCAGCTGTCAAACACAATTTGCCTTTGCAAAAATTCAAGGGTTGCCTCTCAGAGCAATTTCAGAGCACACCTTTAGTTAACTCAATCAGTTTGGCTGTGAGCACTAAGAAAGGCTTGCTCACATTTATGTTCGCTGCATTAAGGTCAGGCTGACTTGAGTTTGCAGTTTTATGACGTTCTGTAACTGACCAGAGTGAAATGAGTAAAATGTAAATTCTTTCAGCCTCTAAACCACAGAAGGTTCTGCTCATCTTCCTTATGAATTCTTTATGCCTTGTCAGCCTTGTTTGTGAAGGTGATGAATGTCCCTGTGCTGATGGCTTGTGACATCTGTTACTGTGACAAGCCTTTCTCTCAGCTGATCACTTTGTTTACAGTTTGATTACAAATTAGTCACATTGTTAAAAAGAATTTAATTTTGCATTCAAGAATTTCTCAGCCATTACTGTGACTTGGTAGATCGAGCACTTTTATCTAAACTTGATAAGTATTTCAAAACTTGGAATTATTTCTCAAGATTTACAAACTAACAAAAATCAAGAAGTCTGAGAGATATTAAAATAACACTGCCAGAATTTTGGGGGGTATTACAAAGGTGGGAGCTGTACAGTGCATTCCTATGGCAGAATGCTGCATAAATTGCCTTGTCTGTTGGTGAGTGGGCTGCCTTTCCAAATGCTCAGGGAAACAGAAAAGTTGAGGTGGTTGTTTGCAAGGCAGCCCAATTTGTCCAGGAGCTGCTCCTGAGCTGATGGCAGTGAGATGTGTGTTTGTACCCAAATTCAGAAGGATTCTTGATGAGATACTCAGTGGGAAGTGAAACTTAAAATATCATTGCCCACTTGGTTGCTTGTTCTGCACAGCATTCTTGAGCAATGTTGTTTGTGCTTTTGACATCTCAGTGCCAAGGAAATGATTGGCACCAGGTCTGGGTGTCCAGTGTTGGCTGCATTGAGCTTCACTTCTCAGCCAATGTTATAATTCAGAAAGCACATGAGTACTGCATTAAAACTATGAAATAATTAATAAATATTGTCTTTAAAATACTTGAGATGTTTTAAGGGAAGATTCTTTATAGTTGTTTAAGTTTTTAAAAACATAATTACATTTTAAAAGATGACAATTTCTGGTTTAAAATCTTGGTTTTTTGTTTCCTTGTGTAGCTATGTAGGAAACCTGTCCAGAGATGTGACTGAGGTTCTCATACTTCAGTTATTCAGCCAGATTGGACCATGCAAAAGCTGTAAAATGATAACAGAGGTAAGGCCTTCCACATCTGGGGGGTAGCAAATGTAATGTAACTTTGTCCTAAGCTGTCCAAAACAAATGGAGCAGAGGGCTTCTTTTGGCATTACTGGCAGTGGCTTTCTGTGGGTTGATTGTGGTGGGCTCTGGGATAACTCTGCAGGAGAGAGCTGCTCTGTGCAATCCTGTGCTTTTGCCTGTAGCCCTGACATGGGAATCTTTTCCTTTTATCAGCTGGGGATGAGATTCCACTTTATTTAAACGATTGTTACCCCTTCTTTGCAGAATCACATTGTTCTGATGATCAGAAATCTTGTTATTTCAAGTGTAATTCATGGCTGTTTTGTACATTTTTCACTTTATTTGAACATGAGCCTCAGTAGTTCTTGTACCTCTTGAATAAATGGTTCTTTGCTATGGATGAAAAGTAAGAAGTCCTTCAAAATAAGTTTGACTCTTCCTCAGCTTTTTCTGCACTAGTTCAAATACCTCTTTTCTGCAGTAGTACAAATAGTTCTTGTCTGCACCTGTCTGTTCTTAAATTAATTTTTCCATGAAACAAAGTGACAAAATTTCCATAGTATTCCAGATAAAGTCTTTTGCACAGAGTGTTGGTAAGTATTAATGTTTTCTTATCTCCATTGTAAATACTCTGGTACCTTTATGGTTGGCAGCCATTTCTGTGAGCTTTCTGACACATCCTACAAAACTTCTCTCTCCCTGGTATTTTTCCTTCCTTCTACATTTGTAACTGGTAAGCTTTGAGCAGGCAGGGACTGATCTGAGTTCAGCCAGGTTTAAGCTTTGGTCCTTCATCTCTGGTTTCTGTATACTCTTCATACTTTTTACTACAGCTTGTGCTTCTTACTAACTTGTAATCACAGATTTCTTGAGGACAGTTACATTAGTTTGTTGTCAGGGTTGTTAATGAAAGTATTAAAAGGCAAGTCTTGTGACCAGACTTCTTTAGGAATGCTACCAGAAACTCCCCTGTGGGCTTCTTCTCCTTTCAATGTGTCACACAGCTTGTTTGTTTCTTTGTCTTTAGCTTATCATCAACTTGCTGCTTGTTTAATCACTCTCATCTTTGTCTGGACTACTGATTTCCCATGTGACACTTTGCTCTGCTGGATTTGCTTTAAGTTTATTGGGGAAAAATAGCAGAAGGCTGACAGGTGACAGTTGTTAGCTCTTCTCTGAAGAAACACTTTTGGTTGTCATGTGCTCTGCAGACATAAGGTGCTGCTGCTCCCACCTTTGGCTGGGTGAGAGCTGTTAGCAGCACTTTGGTTTCTTGAGGATCAGGTGAGAAATTCCAACATTTTTACCTTGGTTGAGCCTTGGTGGTTTTAAATCTTTCCATAAGTGAGACATCTTCATGAACAAGTAGATAAACAGCAAGTGCTGGCAGCTGTTTCAGTGCCACACAGGTGACTGCCCTGGGCTGACCTCAGCAGCTGCCAGTGAGCAATCACAGAAGTGCAGGCTGGATTCTGGACTGTCACAGGACCCTTCTGCTGTGTGTGGTAAACCTGTCCTGGGCACTGTGTCATGGTTGGATGGTTCTTACCATTGTTAGTGCCACCATCACCTTCTAAAAACCTGTGATTTTTCCATTTTAGCAAGATGCATTAAGTCATTCTTCTTTTGTAGAGTATGTGACATGAACACATCAAGTGTTGAAAATTTCAGGTGTTTTTTTTGGGGGGTATGTAATACTCAGGCTGCTGGCACAGTATTTGTAGACAGTTTGAACACCTAAAGATCTGAGTGTCTGCAAAAGAGATTCAGACAAGTTCTCAGTGCTAAAGAAGATCTCCCTCTCCCTACAATCTAAAAGTAAGGCTGCACTTCAGCTGAAGCATAAACTGCACCAAATTTCCTAAAGAAGCCTTAAATGGGTTTCCCAAAGTAGTGTGGGAGGAGGGGTGAGTTAAGGCTTTCTTTTTGGGGCATCTGAGGTGAGTGTGCTTGTAGAGAACTTTGTGAGTGAAACTTTTGTATGATCTCAGGTGCATTTCTCTCATCTGTTCACTGTGCATCAGTTGCACCCCAGGTAGTGACAGTGTGCAGGAGGATGACTTCAGGCTCCCAGACCATTTCAGGTGTATGAAGGCCTTGTGATCTGTTCAGCTGTTGCATCTTCACAGCTTCACAAGTAGACAGGACTGTGTTTAAGCCCTACAATCCAGTTTTAGGAGGAAGGATTAGAATTGTTCAGCAGTGTGTGTATGGGTTGTCAGAAGTTAAATAGGAATGCTGGAAAAGGCTTCTCTTAGCTTGTGTTACAGCTGTGTTCTACCTGTATGGGAGGTTGATAGTGGGAATACTGATGCCAGAGCAGTTCCTCTCTGCTAGATCCTTCCCTTTCCATGTGAGAAATAACTTGTTTAGGGTAATATTGGTGTTTCTAGAATTATATTTGATCATTTTGGTCCGTGCACGTGCTGCATAGTTAATGGAAATGTTTTGGTTAGAGTTTTTGTACTCATTACATCCTGGAGGTAGATCAAATCCAGTGTTCAAGTTGGCATTCTCAACATCCTTTCCACTTGATCAGCTTTTCAGAAAACTCTTCTGTTCTTTGCACTTTATACTTTGCTACATTTATTACTTCAGTGGCCTCTGCCAGTGAGTATTTTTAAAGGTGATTTTTTAGGCCATCCTACAAAACCAGGTTGTACTCAAGGTTTAACAGAGTTAACAGGCAATTGATTAGTATCCTTTTCCCTCAGTCAAACTGTTTGAATTCTTTTAAAAGCTTCTTTCCCAGACATTTGCTATGGCATGTTTCACTTGAGACTGACACTGTGCAGGTTCCAGGTTGCTGCCTGCTGGTGGTTTTCAGTCAAATAAAAGGAAAAACTTCTTAAGTAGGGCAAGAGAAAATTGATGAAAATGTGTCTGGGTACTAAACCTGTCTAACTTTTGAGTATATGCATGAAGCAAATTTTTCTTCTCTCCATTCTTTCTTTCCCCCCCCTCCCTTTCCATCCAGTTTGCAGATCACTTTTCTGATCAGTTATTTTTAGTTCAGTAAACTTCAGTCCTCATTCAAAGCAAGCTCTCTTTCACAAACTGCTAGACTTTTAATAAAAAAAAAATCCATCTTAAGAATTCTTGCATTTAAGTGTAATGTCAAAGGCTATTTCATAAATCTGATGCAAATCATTCTGAAAGTTTCTAGCTGTAAGTAATATATTTTCCTGGATTTTCTTCTCAGCAACCCGATAGCAGAAGGGTCAACTCTTCTGTTGGATTTTCTGTTTTGCAGCATACAAGCAATGACCCTTATTGCTTTGTGGAATTTTATGAACACAGAGATGCAGCTGCTGCATTAGCTGCTATGAATGGGAGAAAAATTTTGGGAAAGGTAAGTTGCTCACATGGTAATCTTAGATTTAAAGAATATAGATTTGTGTGAAAATATTAATAAAACTATTGAAGATATTTTACCAAGATTAAATATTGATAGAATAATATTTTAAAAGTATTGATATAAAAAAGTAAGTTTTGTTTAGGAAATGTATTATTTGTGATCTTCTATTTATGATGGTGTTTTATATTAAATGATGATTTGTAAATGTTGACAGTTGTAACCCACCCTTGAATGAACTTAGAAAATGTAAGAATTGTGTGAATTTATACTAAATCTTATACTTGTTTTCAGGAGGTCAAAGTAAACTGGGCAACAACACCAAGTAGCCAGAAAAAAGATACATCCAGTAAGTAATGTAATGCCACAGTATCCCTTGTGCACAAATACTTCACAGAGTGGTAATAATTTATCATAAATGCATTTAAACATAACTTCTCTCCTTCCCATCTAGTGTTTGATAGAATTTTGCAAACTAATTCTTCTGTTTCTGCTTTACACCTGTGGAAAGCGGAGTGGACAGATTAAATTGCTGCTGCTCTTCTCATGGAATCCTGAGCGTTCCTGGTTCCCAGAGTGTGTGCACAGCATCACTTTCTCAGGAGTTGAAACTTTAGATAGCAGTTAAATATTTGATTAGTAAATTATTTATTTGCAGATCACTTCCATGTGTTCGTTGGGGATTTAAGTCCAGAAATAACAACAGAAGACATCAAGTCAGCATTTGCTCCTTTTGGTAAAATATCGTAAGTATCATCATAAACATTTCCATTATCAGTCAGAAAATGTGATAGTGAAAATGTGTTTCTAAGTTGAAATGTTATTTCTTATCTTTTGAGATCATTTTTCTGCTGTTCATTTCCTTGTGGTGGGTGGGTGGGCAGTAAAGAGGGGTTGTATCTCAGTGTGTTTCACAATGTAAATGCAGTAATGTAATTGTGCTCTGGTTTGCTAAAAGCAATGTGCTTTTAACCTAATTTATATGCTAATGTCCTTCAACCTTTTATTTAAAATTTAATTACTGCTCTAAGTGTGATTTTTTGCTGTTGAGAATGTGTATAGAGTAGTGACTTGACATACTATATATATTGTATCCTGGGTGTGTTTTATGTGCATTTTTGCTGCATTTCATAGGCAGTGTGGAAAACTGGGCAATTGCAATCTAATTCTATAAAGCAGCTAGTTAATAACTTGGGAATGTTTTGAAAAAGCTAATATTTATGAGAATGAAATCTGGTTTTTTGGATGATAATGGGATGAATTACAATTATAATATCTTAAATGAAAGAATGGTGGCTTTACAATATGTGCACATTTCTGCCAGTTAAGAGAATGTTTCTTTAAACTTCTCTGGGACAATTCAGGTGATCCTAAATCACCTGGTGTTCTAATTGAACATATTTAACATTGCAAAATCCTTGAGAGTGCTAAAGTATAAATGTCCTAAAGCGTACTGCTACAAAAAAAAGTCTGTTAATCTTTTATCAGTTTATCTTTATAAAAATCAAAGTTGCACATGAAGGTTTTTGTACTACTTTACAGGAATATATTTCTAAGAACAAAATTCTTATTTTTCTCTTGTTCTGTACGCATATTTTTAAATGAATCATAAATCTTATTTCTTACCTCTGCTGTTTTGTTTACTTTGCTTTTTGTCTCTTAATGTGGTAAGTAGTACTGTTTTAAAAATCAATTTAAAAAGAATAATTCAGGTTTCTGTTTCTCAATCTATATTTATACCTGAGACCTGCAGTTTTTCTAAAGTCCAAGTCACAATTAAAAGTAATAGCATTCTGGTTATTTTGCAGAATTGCTCATAAGAATGGACAGGATCTTGAAGGCTAACTGCAAGGAACTGTGCACACTGGAACTCAGTTGTAGATTTTTTCTCATTTCTATTTATTCTTATTATACATTATTTATATATACATATTTTAGTATTTACATTTTAACATTCTATTATTCAGTGCAGTTCTATATTTCCAATCATTTTAACTTACTCACTAAAATTTCTGTGTAAATTTGTTGTTTTCGTACTGGTGTGCTTAGCATTGTTGTTAGTTTTATTCTCCTTTCTTAAATTTCTGAAAATGTCAATTTTTCAAAATTTACAGCTACCCAAACTCCAAAATGATGGTAGAGAATTGACCAAGAAAAATAAAGAAATCTGTTAACAGGCCATGTATGCCTTTTAATTCCTATTTTTTCCTCTTTTTCGATTTTTTTAATATTTCATATATTTTGTATCACTAGGCAGAAGACATTTAACTATTTAGAAAATGCATGGTAAATTAGATAGAATTGTTACAGTAATTTATAGAACAGTAAACCTTAGAGGACCCTAGCCAATAGAATATTAGAAAAGGAAACTTTGTTTCTCTTATACTTCAAATTTGAACATTCTAGTTATAGCCAGTATAGGTTATGTGCATAGGTTGCATGTTTATTACATGTTATTTTTTTTGTCCTACTGCTTTTTTCTAACAGGTAAAGAAGCAATAGGGAGAGTTCAGGAATGACTGTAGTTTTAGGGCTAACTGAATTTATAAGAAAAAATTATGCTCACAATACAGTGTGTGTGGTTCCTTTTAGTTTTTATTTTGCAGGTTATCAATACTACCCTCATATAGCTGTGCTTCTTTTCACAGGGATGCACGGGTAGTTAAAGATATGGCAACTGGAAAGTCAAAAGGCTATGGTTTTGTATCTTTTTATAACAAACTGGTGAGTAATCACAATGCAGGTTTAAAATAGTTCCTGTTTTCCATTTTTAGTTTTTGCCTGTTTATGTATTCGCTGTTTATTAGACTTCACCCAGAGAAACAAATTTACATGTACAGGAGCTGGATGTATGTTTAGGACAATGTGGGGAAACTGTGAATCATTTTCCTTAAATATTTTGCATAGGGAAAAGCTCACAGTTTCAGGATTTTAGGCATATAAAGCCTGTGTGGTCAGAAGTCCTAAATGTCAGATCTCTGGAGATGTCCTAATCAGAGAAAAAATTTTAATTTCTTCAGATTTGCCAATGCCATAAGATGCTGCAATTGAATGCCTTGATTTAGTGTGTTTTTCCAGTTGCAATTTCTTTGTTCTGTTTTTATGGCTGAAAAGGCAAGAAATTATTTCCATGTACCCCTCTTCCCTTATCATACAGTTGTTTGGTTCCTGTGACCAGGGGGGAACTGTAACAGTCATGGAATTAAAAGTTACTGGATTCTTTTTAGACTGAGCCATAAAAACTCCAGTTTGCAATTAGTATTCATCCTACAAAATGAATGGATTAATTCTAAACACAGTACTAAAAAGTACTCTAAATTTCATGTCCTGTTTGCTGTTCGTTGCCACAGCAGCTGCACCTGTAGGGTCATGGTGTGACAGTCCTGAGCTGGTACTTTGAGGCTCATTTTTCAGAATGTATCATTCTGCTGGGTTTGGGGAAGTGGGATGTGCTCCCAGACTTCCAGCCTGAGCTCTTAATGCTTAGAACAGTTAAGAGAAAATGGAACTCCTGCATTGGACTGGATCAGTCATGGCCTGGGCTCTGTTCCATTTCGATCCTCAAGCAGGATATCAGCAAGATTCATCAGAGTGTTTCCTTTTCTGACCAGTTCTTTGTGTATTCACCATGTTTTAGGAGCCAGGGGTGCTTGAATCAATTGGGGTGTTTCATTGTCTGGGGATTTGGTTTTATCATTTAGATTGAGTTTTTTTCTTTTCTTATTGGTCATCTTTTGTAATTTCGTTTTTGTATTTCTGTGTTTTCAAAATGAGTACTCAATATAATTAAAACCTAGAAAGATCAAGGTCCTGAGTTTGAGAAGAGAATTCTAATTGAGAGCAGCTCACCTTTAACTTGTCCACATTTTCTTTGTCCCTTGTGCTTGGCAGTTTTGTCTTTAAGCTTTGTGCCCTTGGAAAAGCATTTCAAATGTGCACTCACTGTTTGCTCTACCTGTCCTCTTCCAAAGTAATTGGGAGACAAATTGCTTCTTGCAGCTGTTAGCAAACTTACCCTTGCTTACCAGATGTTTCTGCTTACACTGGGAGCTAAAGATTGTCTTCAGTTTCATGTTCAGGATAAAAAGTTGGCCATGGATTCTTGTGTGTGGTCATACAATGACTGTAACATGTAGAGAACTTACAAAACATCTGTTGCACACCTCCAGGAAGCAAAAGAAACATTTAGTGATAGTTATTTTATAATTTCAGTGATTGGTTCTGCATCTGTGTGACCTTCCCACTTTTTTGGGCAGCTTTTGAACACTCTAATGCAGATGCTTGTGTAGTATGTGTGTATATGGTATAAATGTGTGTGTGTACATGTATGTATACAGGTAGTGTATATATATATATACAGGTAGTATATATATGATTGCAGTTGGCTTTTATCTTGTGTAGAAAATGGCTGGGAGGAAGTTTTTACCAAATGACTACTGAGGGCCTTCTCTGTAACCAGTTGCCTTCATGTTAATTAATGTTTGTCTGCTTACTATAATTGTTCACAATTTCATCATCTTAGTACTGTTACTGGTTTTGTCAGTGGAATTAACTGATAACCAGGTCTTGGGAGTAGATTTGTACATGGTTTTTGTTTGGAAGTGCTACAATCTGTGTTTTAATCTTTGCAGGATGCAGAAAATGCTATTGTACACATGGGAGGCCAGTGGTTGGGAGGCCGCCAGATCAGAACTAACTGGGCAACAAGGAAACCACCAGCCCCTAAAAGTACACAAGAAAGTAAGAGCTTCAATGTCATGCTGTGTTGTGTTTGCTGTCTTTTCACTGTTCAGTGGGGAAATAAAATACAAGCCAAAATCATGTCACTTAAATGACACATTAGCTTGCCTTCCAGATCTTGATTAGATTTTTTTGGTATGTTGTATCAACATAGTCATAAAATATTTAATGTTTGTTAATAATGTGCTTAAATGTGAAATTCATGCTTGTGTATGAGGTAAGTGTCTAGGTTACTGTCAGCCCACTGCTGAATACCAGCCTTCTCTCTTTACAGATAATACAAAACAGTTGAGATTTGAAGATGTAGTAAATCAGTCAAGTCCAAAAAATTGTACTGTGTACTGTGGAGGAATTGCCTCGGGCCTAACAGGTATGAAGTGTTCTCTTATTTTTTATTATTGAAACTTTTTGGACACCAGGATGGTTACTAATTCAACAATTCTTATGTTGTAGATCAGCTTATGAGACAGACTTTTTCACCCTTTGGACAGATTATGGAAATAAGGGTGTTTCCAGAAAAAGGTTACTCATTTGTCAGGTATGGACAGAGAAAACAAAATCTCTGGGTCTGTGCTTGTAGTAACACTTCATTTCTCTGTAATTTCACTTGATTGAACTTGTCCTGATACAACAAAATCTGTCACCATATATTCATAAAATAATTTGGAACTTGTAAAAAGGGCCACCAACATTTTTACCTGAGAAGATGAATGTTTGTGAAAGCAGATGTTTTTCTCTGGATTTCCTGTATGTATGGAATCACTGTTTTTTAAGTAATCTGGTGGAAGTTCTGTAAAACATAACATTGGTTTGTTTTTACATTTTTTAGGTTTTCAACCCATGAAAGTGCAGCACATGCTATTGTTTCAGTTAATGGAACCACAATTGAAGGACATGTTGTTAAATGTTATTGGGGTAAAGAATCCCCTGATATGACTAAAAACTTCCAGCAGGTAACTGGACCTAACCTTTTCTTTGTATTCCAAAAGCAATTGTGTTTATACCTGTAATGACTTCCCAGTTATAATGGCTAAATTTTGTGGTGGAGTTCTTATGAAATTCCATGTTCTGTCTCAGTTATGTTCCAGTTCATCAAATTGGGCTAGTGATTTTGATGGAATATCTGTTACTGTCTTCTGGATATGATCCAAGATAGGGAGAAACTTTGAGGTAATTTTAATTCTTGCTGTTTTGCTAACTGCAGATTAGGTGGCTGTCCAGCCAAATAGTCTTTGGGGTTTCAAGCACACACAAATAAATTTTTCAGTACAAGGATCTAATTAAGTCATAGTGACATCTTATTTTTCAGATCTCATTATTGCTTGTTTTAACTCTCTGAGTGATATAGTCAAAACTTTGCCTTCAGCAGCACAAATGCAAAATAAACCATCTCTAGAAGCTGAAGTACAATGGATTATTCTTTCTGCAGGTGGATTACAGTCAGTGGGGACAGTGGAGCCAAGTATATGGAAACCCACAACAGTATGGGCAATATATGGCTAATGGGTGGCAAGTACCATCATATGGAATGTATGGCCAAGCATGGAATCAACAGGGTTTTGGAGTAGAGTGAGTATATTTAATTTTTTTAGAATATTCCAAGGATGCTGTAGTTTAGGTTTCAGACTCATTTGGGTCAAGGATTGCACAAGGTTTCAAACTTTAGGGGGATTCCTGTGTGCTTAAAGTTTATGTTGAGTGCTTGCCATGAGCAGATACTGGGGGGAGTGCTCTGACTTGTACCTGGTGGCACATTTTCTGTGTGATGGGGGCACAAAGACCACCCAGTGTTTGGAAAAGTTTTGGGTGGTGCTTTTGTCTGGTATCCAAATCTGTTCTGGGTTCTGACTTGTGGTGAGTCTGAGCCAGGAGCCTGGGCATTTGCCTACAGGGAGAGAAGGAACACAGACCCTTCAACTTGTGCAGTTTCAGAATTTGGGTGGGCTTTTAATAATGGAGTTTTTCAACAAAACTCTTTTGTTTTAACATAATTTTGAAATAACTTGTTTGCCTAGTTCTTCATTATCTGGTGCCAGTTAAACATATTAAGCCCTGATAGACCTCTCACTGGTGTCCATGCCCACGAGGTATTGGGTATTTCTTGCATTTCTGCATCACTGATGTTGAGTTCCAGCCACCTGTGTGTGTTCATGCCTTGGGAGGCAGATGCCATATCCAACTGGTACCCAAGGTTTGTGGGGTTTTTTTCTCCTTTGTTCTTCAAAAGCTCATGATATTTTCAGGAATCACATGTTGTAGAGCTTAACCTGAATTACTCATTAAAAAGAAGAAATTGTTCTATTTTGATACAAGTAGTTGTGTAGGAAGTATGTTTTTATATATATTTTTTCAAGTTGCTTTTCCCCACTGTTTTTAACCATCCTGTTTCTTTTTAAGCCAATCTCCATCTGCTGCCTGGATGGGTGGATTTGGTGCTCAACCTGCCCAGGGCCAAGGTGCTCCTGTAATACCTAACCAAGCTGGATATGGTATGGCAAGCTACCAAACACAGTGAGCTGGGACTCTGTTTAAAAGTGTGTATTTCATGATAGGCTGCAGTTTCCAGTGACATTCTGAAGACTGGAATGTAGACAATGAAAAAAACAAAAGAAAATATTTATTTTAAAAATGGAAATGTTTGGAACCTTTAGCACAGCTTTGCTTTGGTGAAGGACACAAATGTCTTCTAGTTCTGCCTTTTTAAGTTTTTGTTCATGATGGATATGAACATGTTTTTCTTTGTGTACAAAACTTCAAAATAAAGTCAATAAAGACAATTCTGACTACAAATTTTGATATAGTAGGAGAAATGGCTAATGAATTTGATTTTGAGGTTACCATTCCCTTTTTTTTTTTTTGTTTTGTCTTCAGTGTTTTATATCATTGTGCTTTTAAGAGAAATGACGTTGAAAAACAGGGAGTTGCTTTTAGCTGAACACACATCCTGAAATAAACTGTGGACCAATCACTACAACCTGCAAGACAGTATTGAGTTTTCCAGAAACCTATGGACATAGCTCAAAGTATATGTAGGTCTTGGAAGAATTTTTTAAAAAAATATTTAATTTTTCTACATGCTTACAGAAAACAGCTGATACAATGAACAGTTCAGTCTGAAATGAAAAACAGTACTGTCTGAGAAATTTCACATAACTTTTACTGTCCACATTCAGGCACACGTTGAAACTTTTCAGAGCTGGTTTGCTTGTTAAAACTCTAGTAGTTTACATTTAATTTTAAGAAGTAAAAGTGTTTTTACAAGTATGTTGTTTGTATTCAAATCAGACAGTCATACTTGGGCTTTTACATAAAGTTTGAAGGCTACACATTGTAAATATTTCATAATTACAGTGTTTCAAAAGCATGCTCAAACATAGAAGTAGCAATGTAATTATTCAAAGTAATACTTAATATACCCTACTGCTTTAAATGCAGTAGATTGACAAGAATGTGCAAGACTGACATTTCCAAAGTTGGCTATTATGTAAAGTTACATAAAGAACTATAACAAAGAGCCTTAATTTTAATTTCATAAATCTTTAATGCATCACCTTTTTGTCATTAGAAATACAAATTTTTTGCTTTACATTATTTGGTATGTAAATACCTTGGTTAACAACCTTGTAAACCTATTTCAAGGTTATTATAAGTTGTATAGTATCTTGAGTGTTTTGAAAAATCTTGATGTTTTTTAAGTCTAGAAATATTTTGCCCAAGAATTTTTTAACAAGATTGTTAAAAACATCTTATTTTAGAGAATATTCAATGTGCCATTTGGTAAATGGAGATGCAGTTGAAACAGTACACTGAGTTGTGACTTATTTTTAATTAAAGTTTTTGTCTTTATGGATGGTTTGCATGTGATGAACTTGTACAGAGGCTGGGTTGTTTGTGTACTGAGTGTGTAAATGGATAAATCATGAAGATGTTTAAATGGTATACTTGGGTTATTTCTGAATTATTTTATGGATACATTGATATAAACTGCCTCAATAAATTTGAAGTTGAAAATGAATGTAAGTTAGAAATAAGTAATGTGTCCTCCCTGTGACAGCTAGAGGGTGCAAATGCCTCAGCTGTCATCTGGAATGCTGAGGCAGGCACGGTTGGAAGGGAAAGAGTAGGATTTGCAGTGGTAGCTCAGTGCAGCAAACTTGCATTTTAAAAGAAACAGAACTTTTGGTTTTTAGAGCTGGTAGTTGTGAGTGTCTGAGCAGCTGTGTATTTTCTCTGTTTCTGGCCATGCAGGTGTTGCGAGGTAGAGTATTCTGTTTTGAAATGGAGATTTGCAGTTGTGTTAAACCCAGCCAGGTTGTGCAAATAACTACACTTGTTGCTGTAGCAAATCACATGAGGGTTTTCTTTCCTCCTCTTTGATTGATGTGTGAAGTAGTACCTTGACTTTTAGATCAGGTTGAGAGTGAGATGTGCTGGAAGAGCAGTTTGGTCAGTTGGCTCAGCTGCACCAGAGGTACCTGTGACTCTGGGCATCCAATGCATGCAATAATGACTGAGGTTAGTGTGGAACCACGAGTGCTCGTGCTGGCAGAGTTGGCCCTTTATCTCCTTTTCTCCTTTATGGTATCTGTAGTGTCTTTCCACTCAAGGTAGGAATCTTTGCCTCCAGGACTCTTGTTTTTCTATACATTTTGTACATATGTGTATATCTACGCGAGGATCGGCCTATACATTGTAGTTTGGGAAAACCTCACAAGTAAGTCTGTGCTTTTGTTACACTCAGCTGGTTTAAAAAGTCTGTAGAGATATGAATTGTGAGTTCCTTTAGGATTTCTTAGGCTTCACTTGAAATCTGGGGTTTCTGCATCCTCCTAGGTGTTTGCCATATGGCTGTTCTGGGTGCATGCTGGTGTGGAGGCAGTTTGTTCTTTAGGCGCTACTGAAGATGTAGATGATGCGAGTACATTGCCACATAAATGCCCATATAAATGGGTGTGAGATTAAGGCAGTGATCTTTCAGGTCTCAATGTGTAGATCACTTTAAATCTGATTATTTAATATGCCTGCTGTAGAGCTGGGCCGTACCTGAGCTGTATTTCAGGATGAAAGATAGGATATACCTTCTGATTTAAGTCTTTTGTCATTGATTTTTATACAGCTTTTCTGTAATGGTGATATTTCTTCGCAGACTGCTCAAGGTGTGGGGGTCTCCAGTGTCCTTTAATGTTTCTCTAGCACTGCTAGGAGGAGTTGTAAATTAGATTGCTTTTTACTCAGTAGCATTCATAAATGCATCACTGACAATTTTTTGGCACCAAAGAGCCTCTTGCACCATACTGCTTTTATGAGTGACACTTACACTGTTGTAATTTCTCTAACTACAGAAATTGACCACTACCTAACCCTTACCACTAGAATTTGGATTTCAGAAACACTGATTTATTATGGCTTAAGTTGATGCGTGCAACCTGAACCAAGGTTGTAATCTGCGTTTGCAGAAAATGTTCAATAAAAATGGAACATGATAAAGGGCTTATCCTGTATTTGTCATCTGTCAAAGCATTGTCCCTCTTTGCTGTAAAGCTGACAACAGGCAGACAAGGCTGAACTTGTAAACTATGCACTTGCAACCATGTAAAAGATGTTTTATTTAAAAATTTTTCCTACAAAATCATTTTGTATTTTGTGGAGTTGCAGTAGTAAGGCTGTAAATCTAAGGTTACGTGTGTAGCTTCTCATCAATCCTGCCTCCTTGTGTATATTTGCTAACAGTTTTTAGACATACCTGCAGAACCTTCTTCTTACTAAGATAACTTCATGAGAAGTGATTCACTGTACCAGAACCATTGCCTTCATTTCACTCAAAAAAAGTCTCACAGTGAATAAGGCTTAGTTTTGCAGAAAAATAGTGATTTGTTTTTCTTGTGTTTGTACACAAGGAAGCAGACTTAAACTGTATGGACATGATTAGTGTCTGATACTTCTTAATTATCTGACTGTTTTTGAACAAGGGCACAAGTGTTTGTTTTAATCACGTGAAACTGTTTCCTGGTCAGCAATAAAAGATTTTGTTGCACTGTTCTTACATTGCAAGATACAGGCAATCTTTTGTTCAGTATACTTCCAAAAAATGGATGGGGTTTGTGAAGAACTGCCTTGTTCCAGCTTGAAGTTTCATATATAGATATAATCTGGGATCTGGATTGCGGCTGTAAGAGCAAAAGAAAGTTTTCTTGAAAGTTGAGTGAGAATTCATTTGTTCTGATCACATGTGGTGCCTATCCCACATTGATAAATTTAAGGGTTTTACAATGTAATGAAGTTTCTGTTCATAAAAAGGCAACTGCAAGGCAGTAGCTTCTGGGAAAGTCTTTGGTGTGTTTCATTTCAGCTGACTTCTATGAATCCAGTTGATTGTTTAAAAAAAACCCTTAAAAGTTGTTGTGTTTTTCAATATCACATGGATAAAATCCCATCCTGCTGTACCATAATTTCAAATCAAAGAAAATGCTGAAGTGTTTACTGAATGTTTTACTTGAAAAAGAAACAGGACTTCATGTTGACAAGTGAACACTGATTGTGTTGTCCTTCTGAGGCTGTGTGCTGATGTGGATCATGGATGTGTGAATGACAGGCTCTGCTCACTGACATTTCAAGGGTAATGACTCAGAACGTTAATTTGACATCAGTAATGATTATTTGAATACAAGTTATTCTTGCTTAAATACACAGCTCCCTGTGCTTTGATTAAAGCTGATCAGAATCTTACTGGTTATTAAAGTATTCTTGATATGCTGTGGAAAGAAACATGGCTTTGCCTTCTATCTTAGTGTTGAAGCTGTCAGTAAGACATCAGAGTTGCACAGACTGTTTTTTGTTTAGAAGAAAAACACTTAATGGATGTGCCAGGGAATTGAGTGTAAACTGACTTTTCTGTACTGATGGGTGATGGTGTTTGAATGTTTCCCTTCTGAAACAGTGGCTCAGTTACCATTCCTTGCATGAACCTGGCTCTCACAGATCCCACATTCTCAGCAGCTCTTTCCAGCTGCTGGTGTGGAAGGGAGGAGGAGGAGGAGGATGGACAATGGGTGGTACAGCCCAGTCAGTGTGCCTGGTGCCAAGGCAGGCTGTCAGACACATTTAACATCTCAACAGGTTTGCACGGACACTGCAGCAGTACCCCAGGGTTGTGACCATTCAGACACAAACTTGCTTTATCTGCTTGCTTCAAATAATGTGGCTTTGAAGTTACAAAAGCAGAAACCACATAGCTTCTTTGGTTCCTCACAAAATAGGTGCATGTTAAACAGCCAACCTAGAACACTGAAGGTGACTAAACAAAAGAAATTGTGTTAAGCATCAGAATTTGTAACTTTTGCTTAATGCAGACCTCTTAGCTTGGCATTCTATTGCGTGTCTGTATTGACCTTTTTGTTTTTATAACTGAAGTAGTTTCAGATATGCACAGCTGCTTGTTGAACATCTTCCCATGCTTGACAACTTCTGGAACAGGGATAAGAACTGAATAAGAATTGTAGGTCTACCACATGAAACACTGGATAATGCTCACATTTCCTGGATGGGAATTGACTTACTAGAGCCAACTCTGTAAAAGTGGAAATATCACAGGGGATGATGAAAAGCTGCTGTCCTCCATTTGAGTAGCTAGTTCTTTGACCTTCATAGATGAGGAATTATTACTGGGCTGCTGTTCCATGAAAAATGCTCTTCATGGGTTTTTGTTCCTTTCAATGGGGCAGATTTTTTCACTCCACAAATTATTTGTTTCCTTTCATGCTGGGTTGTCAAGCGTGATGGGAAAGACTAATTGTTAATATTTATTGTTTATTCTAAATCTTCCAACTCAGGTACTGACTGAGGGGAAAGTTACCCTCTTAGTTATTAACAGGACTATTTAATTCAACAGGACTATTTAATTTTGCAATATACCTTTGTAGAACCATTTCTACTTGAGTTTTACTTGCACCAGAAAGCACAAGGAGTCTACACAAATAGACCTTGGACTCAACTGCTTCGAGCTGCTGTTCCATCCTGCAGCTGCTGCACCAGATCTCGTTGCACAGTCAAAGGCTGGAAACATTTATGCCTTGCTCCTTTCTTTGGTAAATTGCAAAGCTTGTGTTCTGTACAGAATAAATCTCTTCTGAATATTTGCAAATACTCAGAGAAAGTTGAGGTGCAGTGTTTTCTGAACTCTTGCTATTTTGGTGTGAATTGGGGCTTCTTTCATTTACAGGTACATGCTGTGGTTTTGTAGGAGCAATTTGTGTTTGTGACATTAGCTAGAAACGTGGCTCTTTTCAGACTTAAGAAAAATAAAATGTGAATGTTTATAGGATACTATTCCAAAGTGAATCTTGCCTCCTACTTGGATTTATGTATTCTGTGGAACAAGGGTATGAAGGTCCAGAAACATGTGTCAAATCACTCATAATGGATATTTTCATAAGGGAATAAATCTATCAACTACCTATATAAACTTGAAGTATGCATATAACAAGATCTTGACATGTATTGCTGACACATTTTGAAATGCTCAATACCTGAGGTCAGAGGACCAGCGGCTATTGCTGAATGTATGCTGCATTTTGAAGACTTCAGGCCAATACACAGGGTGATGCTGTGTTCACATTGCCTTCTAAAAGAGTTCCTTCCAGCACCTTTTTGTTCTGTGGCTTTTTGTGGAAGAACACAGGAACTCTTCTACAAGATGCATGCATAGAAATTTGCCAAGGTACGTGACATTTTACTTTGAATTCATATTCCAAGGTCACAGTGCCAAGTGTCTGACAAACTGCATGACTTAGAACTTGATGTTTCCTTGAAATGCTTCTACAGCAAAACCTTTCTGAAAGGTATTTCTGGGGTGTCTCCTGTCAGTGACTCCTGAGTAAAAGGAAGACAAGATGCAAGGCACTTGTTAGAGGGATCCAGGTAGGTCTGAGTTTCCTGAGGCTGTAGAAACAGACATTCCTTTGTAGTTATTTTCACTGTAGGAAATGCCTATGGATGCTTGAATTGTGAATTCTGATTCAGTTATTGTCAGGGCCATGCTTCACTCATTTTCCACGCCCCTTTTGCTGTGTTTCTCACTTTAATTATGTTTCTAGTTAACAGAGCTGTTCTTGCTTTTCATGCACCAGGAGACAAGTCTGTTGTATTTGCATCTGGTTCTTAGCTGAAACACTGACTTCAGGTATCACTTTTAATATTCCCCTGTAATGCAAAAATCTTTGATTTCTGTTGTCTATACCTGTTTCAGTATTTATAGATGGGTGTTGAAAGCATGTGCTAAGTATCTTGTTTTGTTTTGTTTTGGTTTATCTTCAGGTTCATGCCAGACTGAACATTTCACAAAGTTGGGTTTTCTTTACTGCACCCCTCCAGTCAGTCCTACCTATGTGTAGTCTAGAAGGCCTTAAAATGCTTTTAAGATTTTGATGATGATTTATTTCATTTCTAGTTGAATATATGAATATTTGGCCAAGTCAAGATTTTTCTTGCTGTGAAATTGCTTATTGAAACCCATATTTCTTCATCTCAAGACTTAGTGCTGCTTTATTTTCTGAAAGCTGGGTTTAAATCCTGTAGGTAAAAAAAAATGGCATTTGCCTTTGATGTTTAAAGGCAGTATAAAAGGAAAATACAATTCTTTCTTCTTTATAGAACAAAGTTGAAGAAAGCAAGTAAGAGTGGTTTAGTAGTAAGGCTGTTATCAAATTTAAATACACATTTGCTACTAATCTAATGAAACATTTTCTTCCCTGACAGATGCAAAGAGCATAAAACTGCAAAAAATCAGTCACACCTAAATTTCAAGGTTTGAAACACATGGTCTTGTTTTTTTCTGAGTGCAATTTATGAAGAGATCTAGGTGTAAGTAATGTAAGGTGGGAGCACTACTGGAGTTACTCAGCCTGTAATTCAGTTTCTGCATGTTTGAATTTGCTGCCAGAATTTTGCACTCTCTATATTGGCACACATAAAGCTGCTGGATTGAAGGCACTGAGGAATGTTCCACAAGATTAGGGATAAAAGTTGACCCTGTGAACCTCCTTCTACTAGAAAGTATTGCAAAGGGGTGAGTCAGAGCTTTCTGTGAGTTCAAAGTGAGGAGTGCTGGATGAATTCCCCTGATTTATTTAGGCAAGCCTGAAATAGAATATAATTTTCTACAAGAATTCTCAAGGCTGTTTTATGCTGTGTACCTTGCAGGAAGGTTATGTTTAGATTTACTCTGTGTGTATCTTACTAAAAGATTAAAACCTTTTATTATCTGCTCTTTCACTCTGGTATCTGAATCTTCAGGCAGTAACTGCATTTAGCTAAGGCTTACAAACCTTGGCTTGAAACTAAAAATGATTTGTTGATTTAAGGTTAATAAAACTCAAAAGTGATTCTTGGCTTTGAACTGTGAAAAAAACCCCCAGATCTTAGCATCCAGTCCCACTGCTTCCTTTTTTCAGACCAGGGTTAACCACAGTGCTGTGTTCTTGCAGGCAGTCACTCTGTGCTTGTGGTGAAACTGAAAATGTCTGTGCTGAAGCATTTAGGTAAAACCTCACAAATGAGTTCCTGCAGGTTCATGATACTCAGTGCATTTCAGCATTGGCTGTTTCAAGTTTGCCAGCCCATCACGAACATCAAGATGTTGAGATGAACATTGAAGAAGTTTGAAATGTGCTTTTATTGAACCTGTGATTCTCTGAACAGTGTATGGTTTTTGTGCACTAATTCTTGATGAAAAACCTCATTTTCTGGCCAGTGTTTACTTTGCAGTGCAGTATCTAGTCTTATTTTCTACTCTTAACCTTTTAAAGTCTAAAATTGATTTTAAAGGGCTGGGATTTTTTTGCAGAGAAAAGAGAGATTCCTACTTTGAAGGCCTCCTCCTTGTTAACATTTCTAATTTTAAGTTCTTATAATCACATAAGTAAGTTCCACCTCTACTGAAATCAGTTGCATTATGTTGATGTAAATGAAATCAGCTTTAAATCATGAGTTGGGGTTCTCACAGTCTATTGATTAATTTTGAGTCTTTCAACTGCAATTTGGTGTTGAAATGAGCTGTGCATTTTATGAATTTTCTGTGGTGTTATTCATAGCTCAGCATGTTCCAGAATAGATTTTTGCAATGGCAACAGCTAAGCACAACTCCTTTCATTTCTTTTCAAATCCAGCTATTTAAATTTAAGTAAAATTACTCTTCAGAATACAAGTCAAATTTTAAAATAGCATCTTTGTCTGAAATCACATTATCAAGCGTGTGTCTGCCTTTTTGGGTGTCTTGCACATTCTCTTTCCCCCTACACACACTCACACCCGTTCCTGACGGTGTCAGTGGGAAATTTGCTGAATTTTATCCAAATTCAAAAAGCTGCCCTGGTTTGTGCTGATGAGCAGCCCAAGGTTTGCTCTCACACTGTGTGCTAACAAATCATGCATGTGCAGAATGGAGCAGGAGGAGGCTCACCAAAGCTTTCAGGATCACTTGTAAGGGCACTTGACTATTTGAAGAGATTTCAGTTTTAATGGCACCCTGTTCATTAGGTGAGGTAAGTACTCAGAGCACACCATCCTCTCTATGTTGCCTGGCCTGCAGCCAGAGGTTATGAAACACGTGTGCAGGTTCATTTGTAAGGGCAATTTTGCCTTGTGAAATTAAGGAAAAGCTGGTAAAAAAAAGGTCTAAAAAGGAGTGTAAAAATGTAGAGATGTGGCATATGGACACTGGCACAGTTTGA